TGCAATGAAAGGCGTGAATGAAGTGCAGCTGCAGCCCGCCCACCTGCGCACTAACGCCCACTACACTCTAGTCATTGCCCATGAAGCAGGTTCCTAAATCTAATTACGTATATCATGAACTGACCTGTATAAAATGTAGCTGCAGCCTGGCTACCTGCGTAGTAACGGGAGTATGTGGCTGTGGCCATATGCTCATACATTTATATCCTATAAGATTTATCGAACAAATCGGATCTTATATTCACAGATGATGATTAAAATGACTATGATTGTGTCGGTTGCTTGCGGCAAAGACAAAAAATAATTTGCACATTCGGTACCCATTTGAAGTCAAATTCAACAATGCTGAATATGTTGAATATAGGTTAATATTAAAGTTTCCTAGTCAATGGAAATGTCCGGGCAACAACAAAAAATCCGAATATAAACACGCCATTCCGTTGCTCTAATCAGTAATTCAAGTCGTGTCATCTGTTCAAGTCGTAGGTCATTATTCTCATAAGCGGAGTACATGGGAGGGAGCTGTCCCAGTAGGTGGAGTTGTGCCTCTCCCACTGAAACGAGAGATTTGACCCCAAGAAAAACGTCAGCTCGCGTCAACGTGTCCTTGTCTGAGCACCATCCCCGCTTGGCAATGCTCCCGAGTTGGTACCTTAGAGAATATACGGGGATTTTAAGAGGGAAAAAAGCCAGAAGGGAGTGGAAGGAAAGATCGCGCACGATCCGTGGCCCACATGTTGGTTTAGTGCTCCAGTATTCACCTTGTATTGGTTGAGGAAACCATGTAAAACTACTGATCAGAGCATTTGTTGGCTAGTATTCTCCTCTCGACAGTTTTGAGTTCGGCGTAGCTATGCAACTAGTGTCAAAATCCACCACCGCCAGTCCTCATACTCTAGGACCTCCCGACAAGCCATGCTGCAGAAACAAGTGTTGCTGCTGAGCTACCTCAGGTAGTAGCTCATTGTTACCTGCGTCGTAAACTGCGGTAGGGAATTGAGATATTTCTCGCGTGATCGCCAGTCGTATTCCTTCAACCAGAATGTCGCCACCTTCTGCAGATACTCAGTGTTGAAACCATACCGAAAATTGTCTTCAAGAGGAGGAGTCAGCTTTCGTACATTTCTAAGTCTCTGCTGTAAATCGTTCAGCTCCTAGAATAAATATTTAGCCTTTTATTAAGGTGCGACAGAAGTACATTAATTGATAATGCATAATGAAATTACTAGGATGTAAGTTGCTAGCCCTACAGCCATAGTATGAATGAACGAATAATAGTTTTAGGTAGTTATATGATGTGAATGGTGATGCAACAATTGTTAAAGACTCAATAAAACGAGAGAACTCTGAGAAAACTTTGTACGAATTCACTTTGTGATTTGAACCACGGTAGCACAGATTTGGAAGACAATCATCTACTATGAGTTGTCCCATCATACAGGTGGCTCGAGAATAAACAAATATTGAAAATACGGGTCCAAGAAATTAACTTTTCCTTTCTCGGCACTTCTTAGGCAGCAGAGAGAAAGTTATGTAATGCGCAAAAAAACAGCGAATTTTTGTCAGAATAACTTTTATTACAGCGCCCTGGTAACGAAAAAGTCGATAAAGTTGCTAAATTTAGAAACAAAATCTGTCACATGGTTCAGCCAGATTCCTTGTTTTGTTGGCCCTTGGTAGCAAAAAATTGAAAGACAGCAAAACGTGTGTCTGTCCGTTGGTCGGTCTGTGAACAACGCTACCGGCTATTGTTGACGCACCTTTATGCTACAGAAATTTGTAATATTTATTCTGAGAAATCTGTATAATATATCATCAATGACGTATTTGAAGGATCAAACTAAACAACAAACTCGAGCATTTACAATCTCTTCATGTTTTTCCACTGCGCATGCATTCTCGATTAAAAAACCTCTACAGTATCTTTGCAGCAACTAACATACATACGTTCTTTACATTAGGTTCAATAATCACAGATACATTGTTTGTATTGGTATTGTTTCGGAAATTATATGTCATTTTATTCACATTAAAATTAGTTTATTATCTGTTTAATTAAGATAGTTAAAATGCATAACAGAATTAGTTATGAATGAAGTTTGAGACTATGAAATAATAATTATTTTGAGAACGACACACATCTGTTTTATTTTATTGGATGATGTGTAACGATGACTTTTTATGTGTTTGAAAATAAAAGAAGTTTGCTGGCTATTAATTGCTCTTAATTTTACTAAAAAATGATTTGCAGTATGTAAATAGTGCAAAGTTAGTTTTTACTGATTAAAGAAAACATTTGGAGCCGTGTTTGAGAAAATTTTGAAAATGCCTCAAGAGCTTCTTGTAAAGAACCTCTAAAAATTAATGAATGTTGTTCAAAATCGCTGGCCTTCGACTCAGGCCAGATCAACAGGGGTTTCTTCAATTTAGAAGTCGTAAATTTGTCTTCACGTAAAGTATATCTAAATTGTAAAGTAAGTTTTTCAAAATCGCGGCGCCTGGAGCGCAGCCAGACTGACTAGGGAATATCCATTTTGGAAAAACATTGTACGTATGATTTGGGTGGTAGTGGTGTTCACACTGACTAACGGACTGACGTTTTGCTGTAAATTGATATTTTGATTTAAAGGACCCACAAAAACCGGCTTCTGGGTACGTCACGTGTTAGAGGATTTTTTGTCTTAATTTAGGTATTGGATTTATCCACTTTTTCGTTGAGTTCCACTATATATATATATATATATATATATATATATATATATATATATATATATATATATATATATACACTAAAAAATAAAAAGAAGAAACTTAATTACGAATAATGAAATACAATTTTGTAGTTACAATATAGGTATTAAATAAGAAGAAATTTAACCATTTAATCAGTAAATTAAACACATTTAGACAGAATATGATATTCATGACATACAATTGTTCATCAAAATAAGTCTTCTGTGCATTTCGGAAATGTGAGGACTTAGGCTGATATAAAAGTGAATGGAAAGAAGAGGTGTGTTGTGAGGATTTTGGAAAATGTCTAATATTTCCATTGGTTTACCACATACTTCATTGGAGACGTCAATCTTGAAAGGTAAGATGGTATGGTCGTCATCTTTTGGATTTCCCGGACCCCAGTACTCTTTAATGAGAATTGGTCGTGGTACTGATTTGGACAACTTACGCCAAATTGAAACTATGACTAGAATTACAGCAACTACTAAGGTACTTGCAGATATAAAGAAGTAATTGAGCAATTCCATTTCCTGTAAAAAAAGAAGTAGTTTTGTAATACACTCTATCATGTGCATGCGGCAATCATTCACTTGTCTATAGCAGTGTTGAAAATTGCATCACATGGGTAACGTTACAATATACACAGTAAACACGAATACACTTGAGTCATTTGCAGGTGGACGAAAATTCGCCAACATTTTATCTTGAAAATGACATTTTGCTGAGAAACGCTTCCTTTTTTTACACAGAAGTTTCTCTTGTTCTATAAAGTCCATGAGGTTGTGTCTTTAGTGAGTTGAAGCTCCGAGCACAGTTCTAGGAGTTGCTGAAGAAAAAAATACTTTTTTTTAGTGCAAATGAAGATTTTTAGTGCAAATTTACGAATTAACAGAACTGGGATGTAAATTACGCCAGTCCTGTATCACGCATGGCGCTGCTATTGAGCCCGAGATTTTAGGGCGACAGAAATTTCAACCGCCACCCAGCTGTCAAAATTGAAGTATACTTGCTGTTTACAAAGCTAATGACTAGAGCCCGGAAGTTTGGCAAAATGCATTTTTTTTGTTACCAATGTATAGTTTTTAACAGTAGGAATTACTTAATTCTGGTGTTGTTTAGGTAGATTTTTATTTTGCCTTTTTTGCGTATTCTAGCATCTGATATCTATTTATTCCATTTTGCCCTATTTTTGCCTTTTCTGCCTTTTCCCTCATTATTTTGCTTTTTGCCTCCTGGCGTCGATTGCAATCAATATAGATATATACCTTCAAGCCTGGAAACACGAAGGCACGGTCATATTTTGTCTTTCTGTGGAAGCAGAGGTTGTGTTAGAAATCTAAATACTCGTAAAAAAGAAAGATGATGTCAGTGAAAAATTTGATTTTTTTCATTGAAACCGACAGGCTTTGTTCGCTCACGAGGAATCCCATACTACTTTTGAGTAAAGCCACCGAACCCTGCGAGGATAGTTCTCTGTAAATGATTTACCATTCTGGCCGTGTTGGCGATTACCCAAGAGCAAAAAACAAAAATTATAATTCCGATTTCAGTGATGCCATTTCAAGATTCAAAAGGGAGTTCACAATAACATTTCGAAGAGAAATCGTGGCGAGTCAAATAAATTCGTAGCCATCAACCTATCACGTAGTCATGTGGAACCAGATTACAAAGAAAAGATTGTTTCCCTACACATGCTAATGTAAATTATAGAGTTAGAATAAATATTTGAATCACCTGAATTATTAATGTTTTACAATAATTCCTTTTAAATGTGAGTTTTCATTGTTTACATGCCTTTTTGCACCCCTACTTTTGCTAGAATAAATGCCTTTTGCACGCCTATTTCAGTAAAAATAAATGACTTTTTGCCTGCCTATTTTGGATAAAATAAATGCCTGAACTTCCGGGCTCTACTAATGACCTTCCCAGTCTACAATAGCGCTTCGAGTGTTGGAAATGTGTGTAAATTATGCGCACTTACAATACTTATCGATGATATGCTGAGAGCGATGAAAACTAAAAAAAAAATGTTTTAATCATAAAATATAGTGATATATCATGTTTATTGAATGTTTGTACATATTAAAAAGAATTAGAAGGACCAGAAAAAGTGATATAATTAAATCAAATAATAATTCTTATTTTCCAATGCTTTCTAAAATCAAAAGCTTATAGAAATTTTTCAAAATAATATTTCAAATGTTTACATTATAGATTTTATACAAAATATTGAACTTCAATAATATTTAAGAATCTGTATGAACATGAAAACTATATACGCCACTGAAATGCTGTTGTAACAACACAGTGGTTGTTCAAAAAACCATCCATATTGAAAATCGCCATTGTTTAGTGCTCGCTTGATCGAATAGTGAACTGCGATCTGTCAAGATCGCTGCGTGTGATGAACGTCCTGTCGCTCCAGTAACGCGGGTGAGATTTCAATTTGGGAAGTTTTTGTCAAGAAATTTTTTATCATTCTGTCTCTGTCATTGTATATACAATGCGTACTTCTAAATGTGTTAATTTTTTATTACCTTCTCTTGCAAAATGCAGATTTTGCACTCGCCGGGGGTCGATCCGAGAGTTCATGCGTCTTCTCAGATCGACGGATCAGCACGGAGCAGCGCACCGTAAATTAAAATCTTGGCAACGATTTTTATTCTTTTGACGTTTGCGTTTCACTTACTAGAATGTCATAGGCTTGAAATTCTCTGTTTTCCGACTCCCTCAAGACCCGGGAAACGCGTGCCGATACGTTCGCAATGAAATTATACAGGATATTAAAACCCTTTCCAAATTATTGCTTCAGCGTCGAGTTTGCAGAAAGGCAGACTAAAATCCTAATAGAGTAGGCTTATTCTGTGAATGTAAGACGACCCCATATTTTTCAAACGATATATTATTTAGTAGAAACCTCTTTGTTTTCGGGCAAATATAGTTCATATAATAATAATAATAATAATAATAATAATAATAATAATAATAATAATAATGAGTACTCACAGTACTTAGAAGCCCGCGCCGTTAGAATCATGGATATCAGGTAGTCGAGCAACGCAACCAATGCTGCTTGTCGCGGCGCTCGGCACAACGGCAACTGAGTCCTTTCAAGAGAAGCGTGCTGGCAGTAGTTATATTTTCATTATGATTCCCCCTCCACATGGGCTATTACGACATAGTGATGACGGCGTCATAAGAGCCTCAAGTGATACAGCAAAAGCAATGAAACCAAAGTGCACTTGTAAGATTGTGCGGTAATGGTGTACGGTGGATAACGTACCTTTGTGTGTTTAAAATAAGTCGTGACAATTTGCATCGAGCATTGGTTACACATAACACAAAGCACCATATTCTTTCATCTCTAAATATTTCATCGTGTAGTCATAAGACAAATCTCATTGTCTAAACAACTGTTTGGTGAATATATCAACACTTTCATTATGTGTTCACAAATATATTAATTGAATTTTTTAGTGATATTTAATTCTCTGTACTCTCATCTCAGTATATTCAGAAATAATCTGGTTATGGAGGTAATCTTCATTTCCCAGCATTAATATTAATTTGTGCCTTTATTGTTACCATTAACAATAAATTTAACAGTAAAATATTTATAAAAAAAGTAAGATTGTCACTCACAATATTAATAATTGCACCCTCAGGTATCCTTTAGTCTGTTTAGAGAATCAATAAAGAACAAGTTTTCAAAAAATCTTCTTTTTCGTATAATATTGGAGGAACACAACATTTCGCGATGTATATGCATCATCAGGAGTGAACAAAAATGGAGGTAAATTTATTTTTAATTTCTTATTAATTTTTAAATTTATTAAATTAATTTTAACAAGTTTTGGTAATTTCTCTCATATTTTTATATACTAGCGGAACGCGGCAGACGTTCTGCTCTTCATCTCCCTCTCTCATTTGCCCTCTCCGTCTCTCCCTCTCGACCCCATTCTTCGTCTCTTCCCACTCATTGTCTTTCCCCCTCATCATCTATTCCTCTCTCATAGTCTCTCCCCTTCTCTTCATCTCTGTGCCTTTCTACGTCTCTCTCCCTCTACTGGTCTCTCTCTCTTTGTCTCTCACCCTCTTCGTCTCTTCCCCTCTCATCGCCTTCTGTCTTCGCCTCTCTCCCTCTTTCTTTGTCTCTCTCTCTTTTCCTCATCTCTTCCTCTTTTTCGTCTCCCTCTCTCTTCGTCTCTCCCTGTTGTACTCTCTTTCTCCGTCTCTCTGTCCCTCCCACCCTCTCTCGTTCTCTCTCCCTTCCCCCTCTCTGTCTGTCTTTAGTAGGTGGGGTAATATCGGGAAGTGCTGGACTAGCAAAAATGTACTAAATGTTCAAGAAGATCTCATTATGTAGATTACGGCGTGAGGAACGTTTTTTGAGGTCTTAGGCATCAAAATGTTTGTTTTTAATGCCCTAGAATGATTCTTTTAGGAGTTATTTAACGATATAGAGTAAAAAAAACGTCCTACAGTATGTTGCGGGTGGCATTTGACATTACTAGTTTTGTTCTTTGTTATTTTTTCGTGATATTTTCGATATTTTAATAATTATGCTATGCTAATTATTAGGCAAGATGAATCCAAGAAATCAGAGATAATTAAAAATGGTCCTGCCGTTCTTGTATTATTAAAGGAGTAAATAACCCGACCATGTTTTATTTATGTAGATATTTTGCCGTTGCTACGTTTTTATTTATAATTATTTTATTCCATGTTATAATCACTGATTACCGGGTTTAATTCTTAATTCTTAATAACCGGGTTATTTTTAATTCTTACATTCTAAACAAAATCGTGAACATATTATTATTATTATATTATTTTTTCGTTTACACCTAATCTCTAATATATATATATATATATATATATATATATATATATATAGAGAGAGAGAGAGAGAGAGAGAGAGAGATAACAATTGTAAGTAAAATAAACATTTTTGTTTAGAAAATATAATTATTATTTTTGTAAATAAGCAGATTGAAGGAGACAGAAGGATAGAATTGACAACGTGAACGCGGAACTAAGTTTTATGTTTTCGTTGAGTAACAGGGGAACTTTCGATTTCGAAAATAAGCATTTGAAAAATAAACAATTGTAATAATTATTCGGCAGCAATTCGAAAAGGGGGTACAAAAATTTAGAAGAACTTAAAGATACGTACTCAACGATATAGATTATACTCCATTAGTGGCTGAAGCGCCTCGGTATTTGAAGAAAATTGAAGCCATGTTTTTGCAGTCAACGCAGCGCCCTCTGGGAAACAAAGTATTCCAAACTTCGATTTATGCAACTCTGCCCCTGGTAGGTTTTAGCTGTTTACGATTTCATCCAATCGGGAGCTTGAACGTCACAATAGTGAGGTCACTATGGTGACGATCAAGCTCCGAATTGGATGAAACTTTCAACAGCTGAAACCTGCCTGGGGCAGAGTTGCAAAAATCGCAGTATTGCATTACGTTTAGCGTTGGTTACGGACGGTTACATCGCCACTCGTATGTTTTAACTTAAAAAAACATTAGTTCGGCGACCCTCCACCAAGAGCGCTGAAACTATAAGGACAACCACTCTACAATATTACAAATTACAATAAATTTAATGAATGTATAAAAGGTTCCAAAAGGCATCGGCAAAAGCGAGCTTTGTTGTTTTATTGAAAAACAATAGAAAGATAGACTGATTGAGGAAAACACAGAAGGGATGATAGATGCTGAGCCGACAACATGGAATAGCATGTGCTAAACATTTTCAAGTTTTACTGTCC